ACATTTCATGTTTAATGCAGCTCTACCAAAATAGTTTTCAGCACATCTGTTCTGCTACTGTAGATTGGGAAAGTCTGGATTTTTGTTTACTGTTCTTTTGGCATATCAAAATCATGTTCTCATTCATTGGAAGGAAAAGCAGATAAGGATTATTCCATAGAAATTCTAGACAAATAGACAAGAGAATGCTGCTATTTTTGTATATAATAAATTCAGCTCAATAGGCAGAAAATACTTAGTTTAGGAAGCCCTAAAGAATCCAAAATCTTTTGCTCAGAAAGATTAGAAGAAAGAAATGAACAGGATTTCTTAATACTTGGCCCTATCTCCATTTGGAGAGAGAGAGAGAAAACAAGACAATTTGAATGCCATGAATCCAAAGCCATTTCTTGCAGATTGTAAGATTGCTAATTAACCCATGTCCTTTTTATATTCACCAATTTCTGTTTCTTTTCTATTTCAAGAACAGAGAAGTTCCAATACAACTTATAGGTGCTAAATATCTCATTAGTAAAGGCAAGGCTATCAATAAATATTCAGATGTGGAAGATTCTAAAGCATTATATTATCTTTTAGAACATTCCATTGTTTTGCCCATCCCTCCTATTCTACAATAATTTAGCATTGTAAGGCCACTAAATGCCACATTAGGACAATTTATTCATTCAATTTACGAATTTATTCATTTCATCTGTATAGCCGCCCATCTCATATATATGAGCTGATTGCAACAGTTAAAAACAATATTTAAAATAAAAATAAAAATAGCAAACATACAACCACATTATAAATCTCAATTCAGCATACACACAATCACAGTCAGCAGGTGAATGCATTCTATGTAGTACATTCATACAAAAGATCATCACTATTTCTTGGGCCTCAAGTATGATGGCACAATCATGTCTTCAGATCTTCCTAGAGGACAGAACAGTAGTGGGAGAATCTAAGTTCTGGACAAATTATGATCCAAAGGGCAGGAAAAGTTCTCTTCATGAGTTCTGTTATATGACAGTGGAATGGAAAGTACCTGCTGTGTTAATAACCAGAAAAATGAAATATAAATGTTGTTTAATTTTAGCACAAACTCAGGGTCAAATTGCAGATTTTTGGGTGTTTTCTGAGTTTGGTTGTTTGCTAACAGACATTTCATTACCCAACAGAATTAAGTTTTGGCAATAAAAATGACACTTTCTATTGCAGGGAGCTGAGGGAAACCAGGGACCTTTAGGTCCAAAGGTAGGTTTTTCTTAATTTCACACATGTACAATTACTCTGGTGTAAGGAAAAACATTTTTACTGAAAAAAATTAAATCAATATAAGGGATGGAAGCAATTTGATGGGAAATTAAGATACATAGCTGTGTATGAGTAAAACTATGGAGCAGTTAATAAAAACTTAATAAAATGAGAAAAAAACCACCAAGTTGATCCAAGCAATAACAAAGAGAAATGTTTTAAAAATTCCTTCTAAATAAATATTATTCCAATGAACATGAGAGTTAAGGAACTGGTATAATTTGGTTTCTCCCTCCATCTTCTGCTTAAGACAACTTCCTCATTGCCTTTCTCAGCTCTGACCCTTCATAATGGAGTAGGTGATGACTGATAGTTGGAATAGGTCATAACTGATGTGCCATCAAATCATTGTCACTAGGAAGAACTATCACAATCTGGTCTTTTAGGCCTTCTAATAGTGCACCCTACAATTTAATTAGTTTACTTGGTGTGATAGGCCATAACATATCCCAATTTCTTTGGCCTGATTTTCAGGATTCCTATTCTGGCTGCAATTCTTCATAAATATCAGGCATGGGAATCCTTCATAAGCATCAGGCATGGGAATTGACTTCTGTTTCTGTCTGGTTCCAATTCTTTCTTCCTCACAGGTTTGGGATGAATAATCATTGTACCCCTGTCCAAAACAAGTGCTTATTAGTATGGAAATTCTGCATGTGTCCCTCATATCTTCTTCCAGCTCTTTCCCCCATGCCTTGCAAATTACTTGGTTTTTGAGCTTGTATAATTTGTTTCACAAGACAGAGTTAGATGGTCAAATGCAAATTCAGCAAGGCATTTGACAAGGTAGACCATAACCTACTTCTTGGTAAGCTAGAAAAAAGTAGGATAAATAGTATCACCATCAGATGGATTTGTAACTGGTTGACAAACCATACTCAATGAGTAGTCCTTAATGGTACTATGTCTACATGGAGGAAAGTAAGCAGTGGGGTACCACAAGGTTCCATCTTAGGCCCAGTATTCTTCAATATCTTCATAAACAACTTAGATGATGGAATAGAAGGGGAGCTTATCAAATTTGCAGATGATACTAAGCTGGCAGGAATAGCCAACACCCTAGATGATATGTTCAAGATCCAAATAGATCTTGGCAGACTTGAACACCTAACTTACAAAATGAAATTCAATGCAAAGAAAGGTAAACTCTTACACTTAGTCACGAAAAACCAAAAATACACATATAGATTGGGAGAAACCAGGCTTAATAGCAGTAACTGTGAGAGGGATCTTGGAGTCTTAGTGGACAACCAATTAAATATGAGCTAGCAGTATGCAGCGGCAGCCAAAAAAGCCAAAGCAATCGTAGGTTGCATTAACAGAGGGATTCAATCAAGATCATGTGAGGTACTAATATCACTCTATAAAGTCTTAATAAGACCAAAGCTAGAATACTGCATCCAGTTTTGGTCACCATGCTACAAAAACGATATTGAGACTATAAAAAGTGAAGAGAAGAGCAACCAGGATGATTAGTGGACTGGAGACTAAAACATATGAAGAACAGTTACAGGAACTGAGCATAGCTAGTCTAGTGAAGAGAAGGACCAGGGGACACATAATAGCAAGATTCCAATACTTGAGGGGCTGCCACAGAGAGGACAGGGTCAACCTGTTTTATAAAGCACCTGAAAGCCAGACAAGGAATAATGGGTGGAAACTGATCAAGGAGAGATTCAAATTTTCTTTCAGTGAGAACATCCAACCAATGGAAAAGCTTACCTTCAAAAGCTGTGGGAGCTTCATCACTGTAAGCTTTCAAGAAGAGACTGAACTGCCATCTGTGAGAAATGGTGTAGGGTCTCCTGCTTGGGTAGCGGGTTGGAGTAGATTATCATCAAGGTCCCTTCCAACTCTATTATTCAGTTATTCCTTCTAACATAGCGCTGTCCTCCTTTGGGTTCTTCCAGATAATTGGAATAGCAATTTTCAGAATTCTAAAACTTAAGAGAAAATTTTGTTCTGCAGTAAAGTTGATGTTCAAGAACTGTGTCTTCTTGCAGGGAGAGGAAGGAAATCCTGGTTCAGATGGTTTGCAAGGAGATCAAGGAGTTCAAGGTTTCCTGGTAGATATTAGCATGTGCTTCTATGTGTAGTCACATTCATGCGTGTAGAAAGAAAAGATAATGATATTAGAATACACATAATTTGCAATTAAACTAATCAATTGATAAGATTCAAACAGATATCATTTAGTGGCAGAAGTCCTCTGTTACATCTTAGAAGTTATACATAACAGAACAACCAATTTATATATGATTTCTAGGCTATGTACAGTACAAGTGCAAACCTTTTTATCATGTAAAACACACCATAATTTGTTTTACCCACTGACCCCTTTTTAAATGGCATCTGGATCAGTGAGCCTTATAAAGCTTGACTTGACACTATCACCGCTGCCACCATACACATTTTACCTATTCACAAAAAACCTAAACTTCTAATTAGCAAGGATTTTGTATGTGTTCTACATTGTTATTTTGTAAACATTTTTAAATGATACATTAAGGAGTATACTGTTAAAACTCAATGAGTCATTGTCTAAGAAATAAAATAATACACACTACACATAAAATTATTAAGGGAACTGAGAAGGCTGATTGGAAATTTGTTCTTTCTGTTAAAAATGTTTTGTATAGAAATGTTGCTTGTGTACACTAAAAACATTTTTTTCTCAGATTTCTCTGTTGATGAGTCCCAATTACTCCTTTTTAAAAATTAATTCTGTTTCTATTGTGTTATGCAAAGCATTCAGAAGGTCATTTCACAACGCAAATATAGCATCTATTCTACTCCCTATCAGCCTGAAGCATCAAACAGTGCAGTGATCCACTTTTAGGAGATATGTGTGAATATACATAAGACAATTCTGGCACGAGTGTTACCAAACTAAAATGGCTAACTGATGATAAAAGTGTCATCTGTACATGCACATATATTTACATGTATGCTCACTCAAGTGCTAAGACACTATAAGGTCTGCCTTCCCTCACCTTTTAAGAAAGCATGAACTTTTTAAAGTTCAGCTTTTCAAAAGGAATCTTTTATTGAAAGGAAGGTGATTGCAAAACAAAAGCAAAGCAGGCTCTAAGTTCCCCTTAGGCAATTCCGTTAGGATAAAGGAGTTAGAAACCCCTTCCATTAGTCTGATGTTAAATGAGCCAATCAATAGGTGTGAAGGTGTTGTGGAAACGGCCATCCTGGGAAGAAAATAAGGAACTGTTCCCAGGTGCTTCTTTCAGGGGGCTTCAGAACTGAGGAAAAACAGATAGCCCTCCTTCCTTACACATTCCCCCAAAGATATATCAAAGCAGAGGGCAAATAGGTGTCACAGCTAGGGTTTACAGTAGAGGCAGGAAACAGGAAGAGAGCAAATAAGTGAATAAAGGGATCTAGGCCCCCTCCATCCAGAAATGGAAGTATAACAGTAGGGATATGAGAGGCACTAAATGTAGCTGCACTAACTTTGGATAGAAAATGATATTTCAGAGTTTCAAGCTGTTGGTTCAGAAGATGCTTTGGTTGCCTTTAGCACTCTTCCATAGCCCTTGAAAAAATTATTTGCTTTTCTGTTATAAAAACAATTTGGCATTTTATTATCCTGTTTCATTAACAAACAGTCCAGAGCACCGTTTGTTAATGAAAAGACAACATATAGCTCTAATAGACAAACACATAAATAAAAGAAAGTTGTCTTTTAAATTGTCTCTAGATCAAACAATAAAATTATTATTTTGCATGTAGAAAGTTTAAAGACAGCTATTGTATATCTGAAAGCATATTTTGAAAAATGTAAATGCGATACAAAAATGAGAGTTTACCTACTTCTTCATATTTTGCCAGACAGAAACAATTATAAAGAGAATTATAGCATGATAAAAATAAACATATATTAGAAGTTTAATAATGTTATAGCTCTCTGTGATTCATTAAGAAGTTTTCTGAAACATAGTTAAAATTATGGGCAAAAAATATGATTCATATTGTCTTGCCACAATGCAAGTTATAATTTCTTTTCTTATAAGGAAATTGATATGAAATATATTTCTGTTCATTAATCTGAATTATTAAAATAGGAAGTATATAAACTGTATTTTATAATATATATATATATATATTAATTATTTTTATTGCCATGTTTTTGCATTTTTTCTCCTCAGGGAACAACTGGAATTCTTGGTGTGAAAGGAGAAAAAGGACAACCAGGAAACCTTGGCCGCCTAGTACATATCACCTTTCAATTCTCTTGACTTTCATTTTTAGTGCAGTGTTTCTCAAATTTGGCAACTTGAAAATGGATGGACTTCAATTCCTAGAAACCCCCAACTAGCATGCTGGCTTAGGGATCTGAGAATTGAATCTACTCATCTTCAAGTTGCCAAGATTGAAAAATAATATCTGAATGCAATGTTTCTCAAACCTTTCAAAGTAGGGCCTAATTATAAATGTATTCAGCACAGTAAAACACAAAATAGAAAACATTCTGATGACTAATTTAGAAAATTTTGTATTTTGATGAAAGAAAACTTGAGATGACTCAAATTGTTCCAGTAACAATAGGTCCTGAGTACAAACTGGATCCCTTTTTTACCACTGTTAGGACACAAGCCCTTGGAATGGCAGCTGATTGTTACCAGGCAATCCACTAGAAAATGCATTGGCAAAAAAATGGTTTTAATTTTGAAAACATTAAAACAAATCCTCAAGAGAAATAATGGGAATACAGCTCTGCTGTAATCCATTAAATGTTTTGTTAGTTTAAATTTAGCATTAAAAAGCACTTCTTTTGTTCACAAGGCTTATAAATCACTGCAGTTGAAGCTGATTCTGAGTAGTCAATAGTTCTCTTCTTTATAACTCAAAGAGATAAAACCCTAATAATACTTTAAAAAAGCAATATGTATGTAAAAACTGGACATATAAGAATTGATTGTTCAAACTTAAAATACCATTTCTCACTTGTGGAATCATAACACTTTACACCTTAAAGCCGCATGAAATGATCATGTTTTAGCATATTTCTTCAAAGTCAGCAAAGAAGCAACTCATTGAGGGTCACAATTCAAAAAAAGAGAAATATATTTTCAGTTCTCTAAATAAACCTTAAATGTTGAGTCATTACTGAAAGGAGTACCAATAAGATTACTGTTTAGACTTGCTAAAGTCTAAACAGCTAATCTTATTGGTACTCCTTTCAGTTTTCACTTCTCCAGTCCGAAGATAAGCAAAGCAATTTAGCTGGAGGCAGAACTGGGATAAAGTAAAAAATAAATAATTAAAAACCAATACTGCAAAGAATTTCAAGAATTACCGTTAATCATGGAATAATTTTATATATAAAGGCAATGTTTACATCGCTTAAGTTTAGATGGTTTATTTCTATCTTTAAAGTTTTTATATGATTCTCTGAAATTAAAATTTATATTCTTATAGCATTACAGTATTTATAATGTTACATAAGTTTTTTTTTAGATTAGATTGTATTTTAAAAACAAGAAATTGAACTATATTTCTGCATTGTAGATGCAATTATTTAGCAAGATTTGACAACGGCTTTAGCACAGATCTTCTTGCCACCTCCTCCTCCTCCTTCTGGTGAATACAAGTCCAGCGTTGCTCTTTGCTATTGTTTTGCTTGCACAGAGGAATGGCTGGAGAAAAGGGGTGTTGCTGGTTCCTTTTCATTGCATAACTAACAGAAATATACGCAAGAATAAACTGCCATACTAAATGCTATCTCTTACAATGGCCCAAGCTGATATCATTTTTACATTTTTAAATGCAAAGTAAAACATAACTGTAACAAGACACAAGAGCAAACAGAGAATCATACAAAAACACCAAAGCTCAACAAATAATCCCAAACACGATAGAGTATTTGCCATTTAAATATTACCAGAAACTAAGAGTAACAGCATATAAGAACATCCACACAAAAAACTAGACAGATATGCAAAAGTTCAATAAACCAATCAAACCAAACCTGTACTGTAATTTTGTGCTCATACAATGTCAGCAGCATTGCCAATACCAATGCAAATATTGCATGCATATATTCATATTGCACTAGCTATCTGAAAAATAAAGCATAAAACAACTTATATAATCTCTCCACTACCTAGATGTCCAGATTGCATTTGGAATAGTTAGAACACTTAAAATTATGCAGCTATATTTTATTCTTATGCTGAAAAAAACCTATTTCAGCCATTCACACCATACCTTATTTCTTTACAACAGAAAAATATTGAAAAGTATGCTAATCATTAATGGGAACACATTTTTATATCTAAAATGCTAAAGGTATTAGGTGCACACTTCAGAAAGGATTTGAATGTATCTCAAATCTTGTACAAGTAGCCCTTGATTTATGACGGTAATGGAGCCTGGCTATGATTGTCATAAAAGATGATAATCATAAAGCCGGTCACTCACTTGACTTACCTGATTTTATTATCTTTTTTGCAATGGTCATAAAACAAATGCTGCAGTTATAAAGCAAACCCATTGTTTCTAAGGGGTGTTTTTTTCCCAAAAACTCAAAGTAAATGCCAGTTTTCATTATAAATGTAGTCAGACAACTGTAGGACACTGTAAATGATCATAAATGCAGGAAAGTTACTAATCACCCAACATGTGGTCACATGACCTGTGGAACTTCATAACTGGGTCATAAGTACCTTTGAGGGGGTCTATCATAAGCTTAAATGGACATAAGTGACTGGTCATAAGTTGAGGGCTTTTGTTGCTCATTAAAACAGTTCATTTTTTTCCAGGCTTCTGCATGGGTTTAAAAAATGCTGAAGTTTAAGGAGTTGGTTCACTGAATAGGTTTTCAAGCTTATGAAGAAATCGGAAGTTGGAGGGGGGGAGGGAATGGTTTGCTTTAATAAACAATAGAGAGGTTCTATTCCTATGTAAGCCCTGAGATATTTTGGAAGCATGCACAATCCTGCAACTTTCTACAGAGCATTTGATTTGGTAGAACTTGTGTTTGATATATAAAATGAAGGAAGGAAGAAACTTGTACCTTAAAGAGACAAAAAGCTGAAAAGGAGAGGACGCAAACATTAGAAGGCAACCCAGCCAAAGTTATCCCAAGGTTGACCTAGGAGTTGCCATTCACAATTTGAGAAGGGAACAGAATGGAGAAGATATGAAAGTTCAAGGGGGATTCTGCTCACTTTACAGATGAGAGTTTCTAACAACATTAAACATTTGATACAATATTTGTTTTATTTACAGGGAGGCATTGGAGATGAAGGCCCTAAAGGGAATCAAGGGAAGCTGGGATCCAGAGGGAATAAGGTGAGGTCTCCAATTTCTGTTACTGAATTTTTCTATATAAAGTGTAAAGTATACCTATTATGTAGATTAGCCTTTCCCTCCCCCTTGATAGTTTCCAGATGTGCTGAGACTGATTGATCATATATCATAAAATTAGTGTTGCAGCTCTCAAATTCCAACTAGCGTATATAATGTGATCAAGCCAAAGATGTTGGGAATGGGAGTCCTAACATGGTGTTGAACACATCAAATTATGGAAAACTGAATGTTTTTTAATTCTTCAGGATTTATTCCCCACACCCCAAACTTCTAAACATAAAGAAACATACACTTTGGCATTTAGAGTTTATTTGATTTAATAGATTGTTAATGCTGAATTTCAGACATAAAGTATCAGGAGCTGTTTTTCTCATCACTGATGGAAAATGGACCAGTTGATGTTTAACTATTTTGCTAGATTGGAGAACCTCTGTTAATTAACTTAGAGGCAACTACACGTCATGTCAATCATCAAAAGCAGCTGAAATAGTAAAAACAGCATAGCTAGGAATCCTCCAAACCTCATAGTATATTCAGATTAAGCTGTAAACCAACAGTGTTAATGTTCATTATGTGTACTATTAAGAGTATTTATCAATAGTAAAATAAAGCCAGTACCTTAGGACTTATTAAGTGATAAACCAATATAACAGTAGGAAAAATATCTCCCAAATATCTGATCTTGATTTTATATTTAAAATATTAACACTAAATGATTGTAGCATCATGTATTATTTTAGAATTATCCATACCTCTATTTATGTTTGTCACATTTATTTTTTTCTCACACGTAATGACTTACTTATTTTGGAAAACAGGGAGAATCTGGGGAACCTGGAGAGAAAGGGGAAAAAGGCTCCTCTGGCCAGCGAGGAATGAAGGTTTGTTCTTCATTTTCATTATCTTCTTGTAAAAGGTTGATTGAAAAATAAATTGCCAAAGGATCAAAAAGGGATATAAAATGGTCCATCGAAATAAACAGAAGCATTCTGCTGTAGATGCATTTTCCCATGAAAATACTGTACTAGTTGAGCTCAATAACTTTAAAATCTAAAAAAAAAACGTTTGCCCTTAAGATGTTTGAAAAACCTGCATATCAGTTTTTAAGCTCTTTTAAAATTTGACCGATTTGGACTTTAATTGACACCATATTCATAAAAGCCAAAAAGTATGAAATCAGACTCTATGATGAATGGAGCCAATAAGCTAGAGGGCAAAAAATGAGTTACTTATCTGGAGTAAAACCCTGGAAACAATGGAAAAGGTATTTCCTTTATTTATATGGATTTTCAAATTCTGTAAACTCTGGATGATAAATGAATTAGTTTGAATCCCCTTGTGCTGGAATAAAAGTAGAGTTATGGTTGAAAGAGAAATAAGCATAGCTCTCATTTTAGTATTCCAGTTGTGCACTTTCCTACACCAAGAAACCTTTCAGGCAATCACTAATATCCTTTTCACCTCTCAAGTGAATTACTGCAATCTGCTGTACATGGGGCTACCTTTGAAATCTACTCAAGAGGTACAGGTACTCCAGAACATGATGGCATAGACAGTGCTGGATGCATCACATTATGCGAATGTGTTATCCCTGCTTTGTAATTTCCACATGGTGTCATTTGACTTTTGAGTGCAAATTTCAGGTGTTGGTTACTTTCTTTAAAGCCCTATATAGTATAGGGCCTAGCTATATCAAGAGAGCATCTACCTCCAATAGTTTCTCTGTGCCAAGTGAGATCAAGAAGAATGGGGGAGTCTCCTCAATACAATCATATATTGGGACCTAGGTAATACAATTTCTCCATTGCAATGACTGATCTCTGGTACAGCACAATCCCCAAATATTCATATAATTTCCTTCAAACAGCTGTTCTAAAAATCATGAACACATGACTTTACTCCAAGGTCAGAAATTAGCATGGAATGTTAAGCTTTTATTAGATTTTGGTAGTTTGACATATGTGTTTCACTCTTCTGGATGCACATTATCTTTTCATTGTTTTCTTTCATTCTGTGTGTAATGGCTCCTCTCCTAACTTGAAAAAGTAAAGACTCTTGAAACGGATTATTTAAAAAGGAACCTTTAATCAAACAGGATGGAAACCATTAGAAGTAAGCAGCATCTGTAAACCTTTAGGCCATGCAAATGGGATTAAGCTGATAATGAGCCCTCCCCTTTGTCCGAATGCAGATTCTGACCAATACACAAGTGTGAAGTTGCTTCCTTAACTCTTCTGCCCTGGGAGTTAATAAAGCACATGTTCCCATGGCTATCACTAGTTAGACATCAAAGTTATATATCCCACATGGCTACCATAAACATCCCTCCAGAGATGTTGGGACCTTCAGT